TGAGGGGATAATAAGTGCATTACCTGTTGCTGCTGACAGGTGACAGGGAATATGGAGATACTGTGTTCCCGTCCTCCTCCGACAGCGCTCTCTTCACACTGACTGAATACTACAAAATAGAAGATGAATACAGATGAAGAAAGATCTATCAAATTCTAAACAAATGAATACAGAAGAACAGTGTTTACAGTAAAAAGGCTCCTCTTGGCTGGAGTCGATGGCTGCAGCCTTCGATCTTCTGACTGCGGGTCCTGGACTTTCTCTATTCCTGCTCCTAGAAGTTCATTTTTTAGCAGGGCGGAGTACGCCAGACCATCGGCTAAAGGCAGAAAACACAATGCATTTTGTTGATTAGATTAAACTCATTGAGCTGTCGTTGACATTTCTGAACTTCCTTTGAAATATTTCAAACATTTTTTTAATGTTTTCAAAAACTAATTTCCCAGGAACAATGATAAGATTTTAATATAACCAGAAAACTTAAATTCAGAATATATTTCTGATTTACTCAACCAACAGCTTGCAGGATTACTTACCTTTGTTACCATCTGTCGTTCCATCTTTATTTTTCCTATTTTGATTGTGTGACTTTTCGATTTCCTGTAAAAACATTAAAAAAAAATCAAATCTGTCTGAATTGGAAGCACTGACTGCTAAAATCCACTTTGTCATGGTAACTTTTGCAGAGAACCAGTTACTTCAGTTGTGATTACGGCAGACTCACATTGATACGATGGAAGTTAACACTCCAGTTGGCTCCAGCCCGGGATGGAATAAAGCGATCACCATGTTTGCTTGGGGAGGATAGTGGGGAGCTGCTGGGCGTCAGAGCTCGAACAGCACCTACAGCTTTCTACATAAGAAAGTAAAACACATTTAACTAGTGGAGAAACATAAACAAGGCTCAAGCAGATAAAAAAACAGATGACAAATTATTAACTAGTTACAGCTGGATTTGTTTAAGTCTTGATAACAAAAATTAGGCAATAATCAATAAATCCAGTCATTTAATCTGTAATATTGCCAATGAAAGAGACCGCCCTTTTAAACACCTCTGTCTGCTGTAATCCTACAAAGTCAGGCAACAAATACAAATTCACTTATCTCACTCACCTACTCCACCCACTGTAAGACCTTAGGTAGCACATAATCCTCTCTATAAATTGATCTGATATTGTCACCATCCACCACCTTCTCAAAATCATTTTAATCATGACTGTATTCATTAAAACTAACAATTATTTAAAATTGTAAATGTTCAGAAAAAGAAAAAAAACAAATTGCATGTTTACTTACCATGGGGCTTGCGTTTTCATTCTGGATGTTGATTTGCCTGAGCAGCCTGGACTCGTAGTCCTGATCCATCATTACTAAAATAATGAATACAATTGATAAAAATCAGATAATAATCTTCACAGTGTGCTACTCAGCAGGTATCAAATAAATTAACAAAGTAAAGTGCTTTGCAAAGGTGATATATATTGCGGTAAATTATGCCTTTTGCACTTCCAATTGTACTTTCTCTGCTCAGGTTGAATGGCGGTGTTTGCAACCCTGTTCTTTTTTGTTTGTTTGTTTGTTTGTTGTTGTTGTTGATGTAAAGACATATTTGAGTCTGTTAAATGGTCAAATTAGCTAAATATGATAAACAAAAAGTCCACCAGAATTTCCTAACTTAATGGAAAAAAAACAAAAGTATCTGTAATTAATTGTGAGAACATATGTCAAAAGTGCTGATTTCGACTCAACTGTACACACATACACACAAACCAATAAATTGCAGGATGATATCCTAAATAAAATATACATCTGATTATTTCTTCCATGAGCCATAGCTGATAATCCTAGGGAATGTAGGGGAAAAAAAGAAAAAAAAACTAGCATTGATTTTATTTCAAAACTTAATTAGGAAGACAACTACACAGGTTTTGAGTGCGTGTTGGTGACATTGACAACTAACACCTTAATTATACATTGCTGCATTGTTGTTATTTGGCTATATTCGGCTTTATATATTAAAAGCATGTTAATTACATTGGAGAATTTAACTACAAGAGATCTTTCGTATAAAATGTCCTTGGGCCAGAAGCTTGACTAATCAATGTCATACAAACTACACGGTAACGAAAACGCCACGACTCAGATGCAAGAATGTGCCTTGTCAACGTTGACTAACAACATGACCATCAATGTTCTGTAGATTCAGCCAGTGGTCCAACTGGACGAATTGCTAAGATGTTGATACTTTTTCTACCAAGACCCATATACAACATAAAAACACGACGCACAAATTCAGAGCTATGTATTTCGACGACATAATAACAAACATGACATGTCATTTCAACCAGTCGTACATATGAACAATTATCACTTAACCAATATCTTTATACATTGTGACATGGACATCATTTGCTATAATATAAAGATCAAAGCCGGATATATGACTGTCTTGTAAACCGAGGTTTACACTAACCTTAGCTCAGCTGACGAAGATAAGCTAATTTCTCGGCTAATAGCTTAGCGACATTGTTTGGTTACCAACAACCCTTGTTTCAACTAATATTTAACCGAACAGGCGATTTTCATAACCTACCGTAAATTTGAATTTCCTTGCGGCGTTAGTTCCAGATGAATTTATTTCGTCTCTAACCAATACACACTTTATAAACTGACCATGTAGAGTACAATTCTTTAGCCGTTTGTTAAAGCTGGGCTCGCAAAGCACCACGGGAGGAACGTGACGTAATTGTTTTTTGAATCATAATTTGAGTAACTGGTCTCTCACTCTCGCTCGCTCTCTCACGCGCACACATACACAATATCCCGTTTTCATTTTGTATTATTGTTGCTACAGTTAAGACAATAATGGATAAAAAGTAGATAAATTAATTCATTTATTTGTTTATTTAATTACCATATAATATTTATATTGGCTAATATACCTGGATATTAAATAAATGATTAGTCATTCCACTATAATATACTTTACCACATACCTTATTCTCAATGGGACCCATTTGTCATGTTAGTTGTGAAGCATAACAACAACACTTTAACACTTTATGCATGATGGGATGTTTGAGGTCAACTCCCAGAGCTGGGTCTGCAGCACTGCTACGATCTGATTTGTCCATGGTTTCCAAAGGCGCCCATTCGCCCTCCCATCATTCACTGTCACCTTTCTGTAATAAAAATAAGAAACGCCAATCACAACTGCTTGGTCCATTACCAGCATGTGGGGTTATTCTTTCATGTTTTGACACAGACGGCTGTAAATCTGTTAATCCATTACTGTGATTTGTTGTTTAAATGGCCATATAATATTTATATCGGTTAACATTATTGTATATTTAATAAATGATTAATTCAAGTTAACCCTCTGGTGAATACCGGTAAAAATCATTTTCTCTTAAATGCAGTAGTTTTTACTGTATGGGGGAACTGCCCATCAGCCTCTACAGTGCTCTCTACTGCTCTACTACATCGACATCTATACAGTGGTCTATTGATGTAACTGCAAGTAAATTTCCTCTGAATCCAATGTGGCCACTAAACAGCACCCTCAGCTGACCACTGCTGGGATATCTTGTCAAAACATCTATTTACGAAGAACCCCAGAGGTATACAAATATGACGATATACAATAACAACAAAGGAAGAATATTATCCTTTTGAAATATTATATTTTATTTCTAATATGTTGAAAATTGTGATTAACCATTAAAGTAAAAGGGGCATCATGAATCACCCAGTATTTCTTTAAGACGTGTCATCCAAAAGGTTTCTTCAGTTCTTCAAAAATCTACCACTCCAGTTGGCCTTCTTGTGACTACTTTGAAGTCATGCAATTGCTTCACTGATTCTTGGGACTCTTTTGGTAATAAGGCATTCTATAATTTTTATATTTACAATATTTTCGTTAGGGATGCAGAAAGTGAAGGACCCCAACGTCAAGGTGATGAGGGTCAGGATGCAGAGGGAGGTCACCATGATCAGAGAGAAAGATGGTCACTTGGCACCTGACCATACTCCATCCTGCAAAAATATATATGAAAGGTGCCAGACTTTGCCAACTTTGATGCCTTCTTTGAAGTTGAAATTCTCACGTTCCCAGCAAATCTCACTGAGGCAAACTTCAAACTTGCTTTTAAATGGGAAATTTCAGAGCGTATGTCTAACGGACCGCTTTTTTCCTATACAGCTGGTGACACATTACAGCCCAGGCACTGCACACACACCTCCCTACCGCCATAAACCCGGAAGAAACACTGAGATTTGTTGATCTGATTAGTCTTTTTTATATCTGGTCTCACTCACCACCCAGTCCTATTCAAGTTTTACCTTTCTGCAGTGACTCCATCTCAGGATCCTCACATTATGAGTCAGATTTACACTGTCCTCACCATCCTTTGTTGGTTGTTATTTTGTCTTGATCCTTGGAGCTTGAAAGACACTGAAGTCACCAAATTAACCTGATTCATTATAACAACAAAAAATGGGTTATTTGTAAAATTGACTTTTTTTTATTATTATTTCTTAAGGAGCTAGGAAAAAGTAAACCATATTAAATTTTAAACCAAGGTTATACAAAGCATTAAAGATCAGGAAGCAGAGAATTGATGCAAAATGGTAGGAGGGACAAGATCAAAATGACCTGGTGTCTTCCTCAGTCTCGGTAGCTGGGCCCAGATGCCACCACTAACTCAGGCTGACAGGTGCACTGGATAACGCATGGATTACAGTTCAGTTAACTGGAGGCAAGATCTGTGGCTCCAGTGTGGCAAATTCAGCTCCTTCAAAATTTGCATTATCTCAGCGACGACAGTACACTCAAAATTATATTACAATTGTGACAATGATATAAAATAAGCAAATTACAGATGATAATTACAAATGACTTACGCAACACCACCACGCTTCTTCAGCTCAGGTGCGACATGAGAGGTTAAGGGTAGGCATGCTGTTAAAACAGGAAACCAAAATACAAAGCTAGAATAAACTCTTCATTTGTGGAAACCACAATATGTGATTTTTAACATCAGTCAAAAAATAACTTAAAGTAAATACAAAATAACTCCAAACCTTAAACTACAGGGGTGGTGTACAGAACATTTTACAACTCGTTTTTTTTTTTTGCTTACAATAGTAAAGGTTGTCTGAATGTTAATTAATGGGTTTGATCATAACAATTCAAGTGTTCATGGCAGAAAGGACTTAGAGCCCAGAGCGGAGTACTAACCTTAATGCACGCACTCAGTGATGTCATTACCTCTTAACATGATTTTAAGCCTGGTCTGGAAAACAGAGATACCAAGGGAGAAGCCCTTCAAGTATTTATATATTTAACTTTTTTTGTTTGTTTTGTTGGTTTTTTTCCTCCCCCAAATTTATTTCTGCACAATACCCCAAAAACTCAAGGAAACCAAGAGAAATAAGAAACTAAAAACAAACAAAAGTAAGGTTATCCGATTTTTTTTTTGTCTCGAGAGTTTGCTTAACAGTCCACCAGGGGGTGCTGCTGAACTCTTTATAGAAGCTGTGGAACTTGGAACAAAACTAACGAAGAATGGAAGAGAATATGAATTATTTCCATGTGTTTGCAGTCTGCGAAATGGACGAGCGGGAGGGGATCATGTCCAGCAGGTACTCCCTCTGACGGGCGTCCACAGTGGTGGACGTCTTGTGACCGGTCAGACTGGGGTTCACGTAGGCCATGGTCACTCCTATGGAAATGCACCAGAGGAATGGTTCAGAGTTAGGTGCAAACTCAGCCCGATCAAATGACACTGTTTTAGTTTATATTAAAACATCTCAATATTTAAGAGACCCGTGTTCCAACAGTGTAGAGACAGAGAAAGGGAAACATTCTATTTATTACACACAGGAATATACAGTAATAGACACCCAGAGAAAACAAACAAAAACACCACACAAAGGGACGGCACTGGAAGGATGTAGACCAACGAGGATGCAGAGCAACTGTAGAGGGGGATCTGGAGAGTAGGGTGGACATGTCCGAAAGATTTCCTTCTGTTTTTTTTCCTATACTGTCATTTTTTATTAATATTTTAACTGATATTATCTTTAAAGGTCCAGTGTGTAAACACAGTAATACAAACATTCTGAATAACAACAAACATCCTTACACAGACACATGCATATGCCACAGGTTTGCAGTGCAGTTTCTTTTCTTAGGGCACATACAGTAAAATATACATTTTATGTATGTTGTCATTCAATAGTAGTGTAGTGATCTTCAGTTCCCTTTCTCTATCATGCTATCCAAATAAAACCTGGTGGGTGACCTCCACTCTATGTGCAGTTTGCCTTAATACAGTGTTTAGGACTTAACACCATCTAGTGGATGAACTTGTGCATGTTCTCAAAAGTGTCCATGCAAAAACGAGAACAAATTGTTAAAAAAAAAAAAAAACCAAACATATTTACATTTCCACACCATAATGGTGATAAGTCCTGTTAGTATCACACACTGGACCTTTTACAGCAACAGAACGTTTGAATCTGGGGAGTGCAAGGACTGCTTTGGGACCAGACAGGAATTTGAAAAGAGAGCAGATTTCAGGTGCCAGATTTTCAGGTGCCGGTATTCATGTGAGTCTACCTGAGGTGCTGTTGCTCTGCTTCTTCCATGCAGTGGATGAGGCACTACCTCCGCTGATACTCTTGCCGCCGCCGAGTCCACTGCTGCTCACCTTTGAACTCTGGACAGAATGTGGGGAAACATGGGCGTGCTTACCTGGCCGGCTGACCAAGGCTGCGGCCGCCACTGCGCTCTGCAGCTGGGAGGAGGAGGAGAAGGAGTGGGGGACACCCCTCACCCCCAGTGAGGAGCCACCATGGGACAGCTGGCCCTGGGAACTCTAGGGCACAGGAGGGAGGGGTGACTTACTGGAACATTCACTGGAAAGACAGTTTGTAAGACACAGCACCAACCTGCTTGATGGACTGATGGTGAAGGATGTTGGCTGCTCGGCCAACCTGGTGGTGGTGCTGGAGTGAGGATGCTCTCGCCTGAGCCTGCTTCAGATGCTGAGACACCAGCTGCTCTGCTTTGATGGATGAAGAGGCTGATGAAGAGGAGCTGCTGTGGGAGATGGGTGAGGAGGCCTGCTGAATGATCCGCTGCTCGATTTCCTGCTCTTGCTGCAGCGCTTTGACGAACGCAGCTTTCAGCCTGCTGGTGTGCTCGGCCTTCAGAGCCTTCTTTTGATTGGAGGACATGCAATCTTCACAGAGCACTGCTCCGCCTTTAGTTTTGTCCTGCCTCCAGCGGCAGGTGAAGTCAGTCTTGCATTGAGTACAGATGAAGGGCTCTCTGGTGACAGATGCTACAGCTGTCTTTCCTGCATGGACCAAGTGGGGAAACCATAGATGCTTTTTAGAGACTTGAGAGAACTTTGGTCAACTTAGGAACTGACATACTGAAGTCCACACTCGTATCAGATTCAAATCCTCAGAACTTTCACTTATCAGCAACAGAACAACAAACTCACCTCTGTGAATGGTATCCAGCAGATTCTGTACAACTTCCTCCAGTCCTACCAGGTAAATAAACTCATTATTGGCAGCAGAGGGCAAAAAGTTGAACTCGGGAGCAGGGGGTTTTGGTGGGGGAATCTCTAGGAGGGTCTTCTCCAGCTGTTTTCGCAGGGCAAGTTTAGCTGCAGCTTGGCGACTGGCAGGGGAGTCATTTATGCTAACTCCAGACAAACCGCTACTCCCTGAGGAGGAGCCCTTCAAGCCGGAAGCTGAGGCCTTTAAAAAAAAGAAACAACAAAACAACCAAATTGATGAGAACAGAACAAATTGAACAAATGAACTGTACATACATCAAATGGCTTTACAACATTCAGCGGATAAAACTTTGATTTAACCAATATACAACCATGTTTTTTTTTTCTCCCCAGTTGAACACTAACAGAATCTGTAGTAGTCTGGCCGGCACTGGTACTGCACTCACACATTGATAAGAACGACTGTGAGAATATGCAGCTAACACCAGTCACTGTCATTCACCGTACTTCTTATCTTTCATGGGCATGAATCAGCTGATAAAGCGTGTTCAACAAGTTCAAAACAGGCAGCTGACATTTTGGAGGCTTGTTTTCTTTTTGATTAACTAAAACGACAAAAAGACATTTTGTGTATAGAAACCTTTCACGTCTCGGTTATGTTCATTTGGTTGTGTGATTCTTCTAGGATTATGTGAGCGTTTCATTGTAAATTCACAGTAATTATTTTCCACATTTTTCACATACAATCTAAGATTTTATCCATTTGTATTTGTTGTTCTAGTTTAATGAAAAAAATGTTTTGTACATTTGTAAGGAAAATATAATTTTATATATTTTTTGTTTACATAATTTGCAAAACAACAAAAACAAGGAGCTATTTGGCAGCCAAAAGACCCGGCTCCTTTTAGAAAGCTGTGCCTTAGAAGTGGTTCTCTGGAAAAAGCCAAAGATCTCATTTCTATGAGTGAGAAACTGACCAGCATGTTAGCACTGTTTCCAACCCTGATGAGGCCGGCCTGGATGATGGCCCTCTGACCCTGGGCTGAGGAGGCTGAGGTCCTGGGGCCTAAGATGAGAGGAGGTGGCCCTGAACTTGAGCCTCCAGTAGCAGCTGCCAACTGCTGCTGCTGCTGTTGACGCAGAGCCTGGATCTGCTGGGGAGATACAGAGATGGGCTAACCAGTACAATGACAGAGAAGACGCAAAGGACACGTGGAGGTCGTGGAAGATGAGGAGCCAAGGCCGCCACAGCAAGAGCAGAGAGAGAGAGAGAGAGTGAGAGAGAGAGACAGAAACAGAGAGGGACAAAGTACAGAGAGAGAGACCGTCAGTCTCCAATTTTCAAACACTTTTGTTTCTCAACAATTAAGGAGTTAAAGCAACAAAACCGACTCTCAACACCAGTGAGACTAGAATTTACCCAGAGACAGCATTTAAACCAAATAAGCTCCTAAAATCCAAGAACAAACATTCTTGTATGACTCACTGTTGCGCCTCCGACCAAAGGTGGCATGATGATCTGAGAGCCATGTTTGGATGAGAGCTGCTGTCCTCCTCTGACCAGTGGCGGAGGGATGACTGTGCCTGAACTTCTACCTGTCAAAATCTAGTCATTTAAAAAAGAAATCATTAGTATGAACCACAGAATGGGAACTGCTACCACTGAGGCTCAGCCATTACATCCACAAGACGTCATTTTACACATACAGTCATAACAATAGATATGTCTTACACACATTATACATATACATTATAGAACTGTTTGTCCTCTGTATGTTAACCCACAAACTAATAGTGTCCAAGAACTACCCTGGTACCTGGTGTTTAGTTTGAGTTTCCAGGATTAGAACCTCACATAGACCCTGGCTTTAAACTCCTGTTTAATGTTTGAGTACTGACCTGAGATCCTTTATTGCTTGCAATAGTTCCACGAATAAGAGGAGGAGGTGCAGAGGAGCTGGACAGACCTGACGGCTGTAGACGAAACAATGATATATGTTTCAAAAAAAAAAATTAGACAGAGAGAGACGCTGACTTCTGGGAGACGTACCTTCTGGAGATTATCCCTCTGTATCTGGCTCTGTCTGAGTTTC